CGTCTGCTGCTGGCGAACTTCAGAAACAATTCGAACGCTGTCCTCAGTCTGTCAGGTCGAATCAGGCGGGAGAGTTTCGTTTTGTTTCTGTCAAACGCGAGAGCCTTTTTTGACCGGTTCTCAGTTATTCAAACCGATCAAAACTTGTTTGTTTTTCCCTAACTCCAAAAATGCTTTGGAGGACTTCTGTGCAAGTTAGCTGGTTCTAAAACGCCAGCGAGGCCCACGAGGCAGGCGTAGCGCAGCGAGGAGGGAAGCGGGGCCTGGACCCTGGGCCGCAGGAGCCGCCGTCTGGCCTGGCCCCTCGGTGGAGCTCACGCAGCCGCTTTCCAACTGCTCGTCAGAGAAATCGCTAAGAGTGAAGTTAGCCCCTTGCGCCCAAGATTTTATTTAGTTACTGGAAGCCTGTTATTCCGGAAATCACGAAGTTGCTGCACCTTGTGCCTCAGAACATCGGGCGGGCGGGGAGAGGCGGGCTCGGGGCTAAGCTGCTGCTTTCTGACTGCAGATATTTCCAGACGTGCAGGGCCCACGGCGGCCACAAATCCCCAGGTCGTGCGTCACCCTGTCTGACCCAGGCGCTGACCCCGGGCCAGCACTGTCAGCAGCACCCACTTTTGCAGGGGAGGAGTTGAGGAGGGGCTGGTCGCCCTGGGGGCACACTGGCCCTCCAGGGGAAGCGGTCAGAATCAGCCGCCCTCTGCCACTGACCCTCCTGGGCCGACTGAGAAGGCGACCGGAGACCAGAGGAGGTTCTGCGTCACCGCTACTGGGCACCTCACTGGGGGCTTGAAGGCCCTGGCTCCGTATCCTTTTACTCCTGCTACATTTTTTATTTTATTTGCTTATGTATATACTTTAGTCCACCTTTTAAATTTAACTTTGTAATTTTGTTTCTATTAGTACACCCTCGGGAGCAAAGCCTAGTGAGAGCCGGGAGGACTTGATTCCTGCTCTCTCCAATTCGGGAAGGCTGCCAGGTGCCAAGCTTGTCAGACCTCAGCCCCAGACCACACAGGGGAATGGGACACAGCCTTCTCTGGGGACTCGGAGGCACTGCCTGTGTTTTCATGGCTGCACTGATGCCCAGGGGTGGGTGGGCAAGCGTGCCGGTCCTATCCTGAGGGAAGGGGCTGGCAGCTACAGGGCCTTGAGGAGATGCCCTTGGCAGGGCAGCCTGCTGCTGGATTTCCCTGAAGGCCTCTGCCTTCCACCCGCTGCTGAGCCGGCCCCTTGGCACTGTCTGTGGATCTGGAACTCAGTACCCTCCCCTGGCTCTGAGAGGGGCGTGCAAGGCCCCACCAGCAGGGAGGGTGTCCTGTTTGTTCACAGGGCTGGCTTCCCTTGACCACCACACCTGGAGTGGAGCACCGGGGACCAAGGAGGAATGAGGGGCTCATGCGCCAACGAACCACTTCCTGGGCAGGATGCCCCTCCTGTCCCTGAGCAGCACCGGCCGGGCTCCTGGGGGAGCCTCTTGTCCTCCAGGGCTTAGGAACCTCCATCCCACCTGTGGTCCCAGCATGGGCCTGACCCCACATCCATCCCTCTGCGTTTGGAAACCTGACACCCCCTTGTTGGCAGGGGCACCCAGAATTCCCAGCTGCTCTCCTCCAGGGAGGAAAGTCCTGTCAGCACCAGCTCATGACCTCAGCTGCCTGATCACCAGAGACAGGTAAGTGACACAGCGGAAACCTTCCCTGTGTGCTCTGCGAGGCTACAGATGGCCAGGGCCGATGCTTCTGGAAAAGCCTGTCTCTGCGCAGCCCCAGCTGCAGCCCTGAGCTGCTCTCAGGCCTTCTGTGTGATGCTGGGCGGACTCTGCAGGCCAGGCCACCTGCATGAGAACAGCAACGCAGGTCTGCTGTGTAAGCCAGCCTGAGTTCTGGGTCCAGGTTCCCACAGAGGAGCGGCCCACCCCTGTTGATGGGATGAGATAATTAGAGTCCTGGTGGGGCGGGCACAGTGTACAGCACTGTTATTACTGCCTCAGCCTCATAATGGGAGGTCAGAGATGGAGTTGCCACTGGCTTTGTGGTTGATTAGGGAGACCACGCCCACTCACGCCCACTCACCGCCCCACAGACCTGCTGAGGCTGCCCTTGCCTGCTTTTCTGAAAAACAGAAAATTCTGTGTGTGGGGCTCTGTGCACACGCTTGTGTGGGCCCTCGTACATCTCACGCTGCGCACAAATCCATGTGTGCTTGTGTCCATGATCACATGTCTGTGTGTACCTGTGTGTCCACGTGTCTATGTTCCATGTGTGCACGTGTCTGTGTGTCTGTGGTCGTGTCGGTGTTTGCACACATACTGTGTGCTCATGCCCACGTGTGTCTATGTGTATCCATGTGTGTCTGTGCATGTGTCCAAGTATGTCCGTGTGCACACGTCTTTGCTCGTGTGTCCCTGTGTATGCACATGTCACTGCATGTGTAACTGTGCACATCTATTTGGATGCATGTGTGCATGCTTATATGTGTGTGTATAAACCCATGTTTGCCTGTGCACGTGTCTGTGTGTCTGTGTCTGGCATGTTTCTGCAGGCACCATTTTCTGTGCCTGTCGTCATATGCACAACACATGTAGATGTGTCTAATTGTCTGTGTGTGTGTGTGCACACTGCCTTGTGTCTGTGCACACCTCTGTGTCTCCAGGAGAGTAAGGACAGCGGGACGGGTGAGTGCTGTGGTGAGGATGTGTGGTCGTCTCTGCCCCCTTAGCTCTGAGGCCCAGGCTCCTCTGGGTCCCTGCATGTCTGTTACCCACAGGCCTCTCTCGGGGAGGCACTGTCTTGGCTGGAGGCCGCACACAGGAGAAGCTAAGTGTGTACAGCTCCTGGGAATGGACTCCAGACTCCAGGTCAAGCTTCACAGGCCCAGGACTTCTGCATGGGCTTGATGCGGAGCCTGGGGCGGAGCCCTTTGCGCTGTCTGGGAACATCACTGTGCTGCTTCCCCTGGCCTCTCCCCTTCACCCATGCCATGATCTCATGTTGGGTCTCTGAGTGTGTGACAGAAACTCCGGTGCCACCTCTGACTCATGCACGGTCCGCAGAGAGCTGTGTGTGCACCTGAGCAGTGTCAGCAGGCCCAGGCCTCTGCCCACCCAGCACACAGGGGCGGTGGTGCGGGGCGGGCACCCTGCACTGGCTGTGACCTCGGGAGTCACAGTTGGAAGGGACCACTAACGAGCCCTGAGCCTGGCTGTGGACAGGGTCGGGCCAGTGACCCTGGGCCTCACAGAGTGCTCTAGGATGGGCTGCACCAAATACCACCCCCAGGCCTGGGGACCTTGTGATGCCTCACACACGACTCTGTGGAGTTCAGTGCACACTCTGCTCCTCAAGAATGCTGAGCACGTCCAGGAAGAGGCCCACCACCCCACCCCTCCAACGTGGTAACTGTGTGTGTGTGTGTGTGTGTGATTGCCGTGTGTGCACCTTGATCAGAGACACTGTGTTGGGTAGACAAACACCCTACCTTATCTTGGAGTTCATGTTCTGCTCCTCTGAGAACTGGTGTGACCCCTGAATTCTCACACGGTGGAAATAAGCAGAGAACAGAACTTAGAAAATACGTTTGTGCCTTCCTAGAAACACACCAGCCTTGATCTGGCTCACACTCATCCAGGTACACGGACACAGGAAAACCCACCAAAGCTGGCACCTAGGTGGCAGACAGATGCCACGTGATGCGAGCCACTGCCCGAGTGGAGTCACTGTGCTGACCCACGTGTCTGAGCCACTGTCCTCCTCAGCTGCTCACTCCACGCGTGACCCCCAGTGGCTCTGAAGGGCACTGTCCAAGCCTGCCGGGAAAGCCCAGGTGCCACCATCTGCTCCCACCTAACACCAGCATGAGTCGGCCTCCAGAGCCCACCAGGATCAGAACCACTTGTAGATGAATTCTCCCAGCCACCTCGGCCACACACCAGTCTGGGAATGATAAGGACACACGAAGGCACCGATTTCCATCACCACACAGCGAGAGCAAATGAATTCACTCCAGATTTCAAAGTGTGTTTGAAGACCTGACTCATTAAAGAGATCCCAGGGTAAATCCTCCCTCGAACTGAAGAACCTGCTGACCCTTCGTGAATCTTCTGTAAATGAAAATCCTCAAATCCTCACCTTTTTAGACCAAAATATTCTTTTTCATTAGTGATGTCTGTTTCTCACAGACATGACCTGGGAAAGGATGTTCATATATATGTCTAAGAGTCAGACAGAGTACAGTGTTTTCTTGTTATGCCTGTAAAATTCCTGCAGATTAAAGTTACTTTTAAATTAACGGCACAGTTCTTCTGTAAGGATGATGGGCTAGAATATTTTGACTATAGTCACCCTTGCATAATTATGGGAGGGAGGAAGGGAGGAGGAGCAAAAGAAGCAGCATCCCCCACCCGAGGCTGCTGCAGGCGCTGAGTGTTGGTTTGCTGGGGATGAGGCAGGCGAGGAGAAGGAAAAGCAGTGATTTGCATTTTAAGTCACTAATTCTCTTCTTCCCTCTACGTTCAATCCTAGAGGATTCCGCAAGTGTGCCTGCACTTCTGGGTGCTCGTGGACCCTGTGGCTTGTGCACATGTGTTCCCATCTTTAGCAGTGATGTCTGAAAGCTAAATGCAGGAAACCAACTAAATTAAAGCTAATCAGAGCTGCATCGTGGCGCCCAGCACAGCAGATAATATTCCTGTGCTCCATGCAATTAAATTCTTCAATTACTCTAAGTGTTATTATGCTAATTTAAGAGGCTAGGATTATTAGAAAAATGTATAAAGAATTACGCTCAGTTATAGCATTTTATTTATGTGATTTCGTGTTAAATTATTTAAGGTATGGAAATGATGGGCATTGCCAGGCTGTGAGTCCAGTGAGCCCCACGGGGCAGCAGAACAGCTGAAGGGAAGTTGTTCCTGTCGGCCTGGGGGTGGGGACCTTGCAGCCGGCCCCGTTTGGGGCTCTTCCCTAGCTGATGGCTGCCAGAGACGGTGTCCCCGGGGCAGCGCCCCGGCCTTTGTTGGGGGATCACTGCCTTGCATACCCCGCTTCGTCCAGAGGAAGCTAAGAACCAGCTGGGGCCTGGCTGGAGGCCTGCACGCTGCGCCCCAAGCCCTCCGCACGCTCTGGACACTCCTGTCCTTGGCTGGCTCCTGCTGAGTGGCTGCGGGTTCTAGACCAAGAAAATTGTCTCAGCTTTAGGTGAGAGCTGCTCAGTCCAGCTGTGTAAGGACGCCCTGCTGTAGAGGCACCCACTGTGCGCTTCCTGCTTCCGCCCCATCCCTTGGCCCTGCCCTGCTCTCTGCCACCCTCCTTCTGTCACCTTTGCTCTCTCTACCTGTCCTTTCCATGATCTCCTGTCTTCCCCTTGCTGCTTTCTCCATGTTTGGTCCCAGAACGAAAGCTCTACTTATTTTACTGTCACCTCTTTTATAGGACCTTCTGTTCATCAAAGAGCATCACATTTGTCTTCAAAATATTGGAAATTAGAAGACAGCACTTCCACAGAGGACACCTTTCCATGCGGCTCTGTGGCCTCCACCTGGCTGCACTTGTGTGGGACTGGGCACCGCCTAGAACGCTCCCCAGACAGGCCAGGGAAGACCTGCTCTACCTGAGGCGGGACCTTTGTCTCCTCTCCTGCCACGGCTGCCACAGGGACCAAAGTGCCCAGATTCCCAGGCCCTAGAAGTGAGGTGCAAGTCAGGGGTCGCAGTGCCCATGAAAAAGTGGGGTCAGAGACAGCCTCGTGCTGCCCACACCTGCCAGTCCACCACCAGGCCTGTAACTTCGAAGCTGTGGCATCCTGAGGACTTTGTGAAGATAGCAGAAGCCACCACTGGGACTGTGCCAAGGTCTGCTCTGCCAAGATGGCCTTCCCCAGCCCGTCCCAGCCCGTCCCGGCTCGTGGTGGACGCAGCAGGGACCCTGAGTCAGCCGCAGGTCCTGGGAGACATTCTGGTAGGTGTCAGATCCCACCAGGGCTCCTTCTCTCCCTCACCTGAGCTCCTGCACAGTGTGAGCCCTTCTTGCACACCCTGTGTATGAGCAGTTCAGTGTAACATCACAGCTCAGTGCTGCAGCACCTGCTTCTTTGGGGACCTTGTCACTTCTGCAGGTACAGCATCTGCAGCCCTGTCCTCCTTCTCCACACAAGGAACAGAACACCGGTTTCCGATCCTGGGACATTCTGGTAGGTGTCAGATCCCACCAGGGCTCCTTCTCTCCCTCACCTGAGCTCCTGCACAGTGTGAGCCCTTCTTGCACACCCTGTGTATGAGCAGTTCAGTGTAACATCACAGCTCAGTGCTGCAGCACCTGCTTCTTTGGGGACCTTGTCACTTCTGCAGGTACAGCATCTGCAGCCCTGTCCTCCTTCTCCACGACATTCTGGTAGGTGTCAGATCCCACCAGGGCTCCTTCTCTCCCTCACCTGAGCTCCTGCACAGTGTGAGCCCTTCTTGCACACCCTGTGTATGAGCAGTTCAGTGTAACATCACAGCTCAGTGCTGCAGCACCTGCTTCTTTGGGGACCTTGTCACTTCTGCAGGTACAGCATCTGCAGCCCTGTCCTCCTTCTCCACACAAGGAACAGAACACCGGTTTCCGGGATGACCCCACATAGATGGGCAGCTCGGCTTCTGTCTGCCTCTCAGAGCCACAAGAGCAGGGGCTGGGGGCCCGGACACTGCCCGCCTGACCTGGGGCTACACCTGCATTCCAAGCTCTCACCCCCTCCCGTTAAACACGTAAAACCTCAGGAAAGCACCTGGCACTCAGTGGGCCATGTCTCGAGCTGCTGCAGTGTCCCCTGGCACTAGTGCAATGTCTGTCTCAGTCACTTTCCTCTTCACTGAGACTAAAGGTCCAGGGTCCACAGCTTCAAGGCCGAGAGTTTGTCCTGGCTCACAGTTTAGAAGTCTCAGTCCTTGCATGGCCAACCAGCTCCAGGCAGAAGGGGCATGGCGGAAGGGCCTGGGCGGAGGACTGCTCATCTCAGGGTGCACAGCAAGCAGAGAGCGAAGAGGGGACCAGGGAGGGAGTCGAGCCCTTCAGGGTCACACCCCAGGGATCATCCCTTCTGACCAGACCGCAGCTCCTGACACATCTGCAAGCCAAGTAATCCAGTCACCTTCCAAAAGCCCATCTCTGAGCACACGAGGGACACAGATCCAAACCTAGTGATGTCCCACATCCCTGGGCCAGGAACCACATGTGG